GGCATTGTACCAAACTGTAGTTAAACATTTTTAAATGTGTATTATTTTCTAAAAAAATAACAACGTGCAAACCAGGAGTAATGTCTGCTTTGTGGCAAAGTGTCGATAAATCCCCCCCAATGTGCCTTAAATTAAATGGTAGGATTACATTCCTGTCAGGTCAAAACCATTTGATATTTGCAAACAGATATTGTTTGTTGTTTATGTAATTTTTATGAAATGTGGAGTATTTAATTTTTTTACAGTGTTTTTGCTCTTATTCTCACACATGGCTTGCCATTTGGTAGTGTTTTACCATAAATAACGTGTAATTGTAATATGTTTGTAAATAGTGGAAAATTTGTTCTATTTTTATAATGAAATCAATATTATTGCCATTGCCAAAGGAACTATGTGTATTAATGCAATTGTATAACTGAAGTCACTGAAAATGTATATTGTAAAATGTACATTTTAAATATCATCTTAAAGTTTTGACTTGCAAAGTGTGACTTGTGTTTTACGCACTTGTGGTCCATAGAAAGTGTTATTTCATTGAATTTTAGTTCTGCAAATTATGTCATGATCCCCACTAATAAAGTTCTTGTGACTTCTATGAAGGAACTCACTGCATATTCTTTTCTGAAAAATAAACCATAAAAATAAATGGTAAAACTACTGTGGCTGATATATTTATTTTATTTGTTCATTATATATTTACAGTGAGCACAGAATGTTTTGTTCTAGACCAGTTGACACAAACAAGACTATTTATATAAAATGGACCAAAGTACTAAACGTAGAGGAGTTAGTAGAAACATTCCATTGGTTTCCATGGTGATTGTTCCATGTTTAGAATTTTCCCACCAATTGGTTTACATAAGTAACCATTACTGAGATCAATCCACTGAAATATGACTTGGCATACAACTTAAATGTAAGTCAGATGACCAATGCCAGTTCAAGATGGCTATTTAAAAAGTCAGCCATTTGCACTGCTGTTCACTAACAGTGAGTACGGACAAGTATATGGGCTTAAGCTTACTTGACCAAACAGTGACTAATATATGTTGTATATTTCAAGATGGGCCAGACAGGAGATGCCTGAAGGACCCAGGTCAAAGTGATATAAAATGGTGTGAGTATCTACAGTGGCACGGTGCCAGGGGCTCCACGCTCCATAACCACTATAGAGCATTCCAGTGATAATTATGCCTTGATTATCCTTTTAACAGACTACCTGTCAAAGTTGTTTTTCAAGCAGCAACCACCTAATATCAAGGTGTTACCAGGATACTAAAATAAGGAGTTGCTGTTATGTAAATATTTAAATATGATAGAGGTCCAGACTTCCTATGATGTCTGCTAATCCATAATTAAGGAGATAGCCCGATCATATCTTCTTCACCTTCACGCACCAGATGAGTGTCAGGGACAACATGAGTGGGTTTTCTTGTATTTTCTAGTAATTGTGGAGGGGAAGGCTGTCAAACATACTTATTATAGTGATGGTGAACCTATGAAACTGATGCTACGTCTGAAACTCAGAAGCATCTGACATGGCCATCTGTGTCTAACTCAGTGTTTCCCAATTAGTGTTCCGCGGAACCCAAAATTGGGGTTCCACTGCAATTTGCCCGTCGTGTGGTCCAAGCATTTAGGGCCACCCGATAGGCATCGCTAAACAGGGGTCCGGTCAGGTGCTGCAGCTGTCTAAAACCACGACCGGACCCCTGTAGTATTGGATGCTGGGAGGAATTGACAGCACTTCCTGATAGAGAGAACGCGTCGCCTGGAGGGGGAGAGGGAGCAGCGGGGACTTAGCAGCACACCAACCTCAGCCAGCAGCACCGAAGATCCTACTGTAGAAAAAAGGTAAGTGAACAACAAATTTAAACATGTGTGTGTGTGTTTATGTGTCTGTGTGTGTACCTGTGTCAGTGTGTGTATCTCCCAATGTGTGTGAATCTGTGTGTGTATGTGCCAGTTTGTGTATCTGTGTGTGTCATTGTGTGTGTGTATATATTTGTGTCAGTGTCTGTGTGTGTCATTGTATCTGTCAGTGTGTGTATGTGCCAGTATATGTGGATCTGTATGTCAAGGTGTGTGTATCTGTCAGTATGTGTATCTGTGTGTCAGTGTGTGTATCTGTGTGCCCCTATGTGCCAATGTGTGTGTGTATCTGTGTGTCAGATACATACACACACACAGATACACACTGACACATAGATACACACACTTGCACATACAAACACAGATACACACACCGGGACATACAAACATAGTGTCACGACTACCAGTGTTCTCCAACACGCAAAACTATGTAACATCTACATAGACTATAGAAGATAGACAGAACGTAAACTGGTCCTGGCCGGTTAATATGTTGAAAGACAGAGAATGGTCAAGGGAAAGCTGAGGTCAAGGAAGACAGAAATACACAAGATCGATAAGGAAATCCAAGTCAGGGAAACCACAGATAAGAGTAGTCAGGAATAGCCAATATAGTCAAAATACCAGGAAGATCAAATAACAAGAACAAGGAAATATGACTGTTTAAATACCCTTCCTTGTGCTGTGATTGGTCAGAGCTTGGCCTCTAACCCCATAGCATGTGTGTGCGTCGACGCGTGACCCTTGGAGGCGGAGCTCGTGGTTGGCACCATTTTGTTTGCCGCTTGTGGAGGGGCTCCTGGCTCGCTGCTGAACAGGCAAGTTCACTAACCTGTCAGCGTGGTCGCACCAATCGGGTGCGACCACGTGCAGTCACGAGTCGGGGGCCATGACAGTACCCCCAATCGAAGACCACCCACTGGGCGGGAAGGAGCAGGCTTGTTAGGAAACCCGTTGTGAAACGACCAGACAAGACGAGGAACATGGACTCTGTCAGCAACAATGCAAGAGCGTTCCTCAGGACCATAACCCTTCCAATCCACCAAATAAGACAACACACCTGTAGACATCCTGGAATCCAGTATGGAACATACATCGAATTCCTCCGTTCCACCAAGGAGGAGTAATCGCTTTGTGTGCCGGTTGCAAGTAAGCGGTCTCAATAAAGACACATGGAACATGTTTTATTTCCCCAAATGTGCAGGAAGAGCAAGCGAGTGTCATGGATAGAGGCCATCCGGACGTCTAAAGCAGGAAAGTCAGTGTCTGAAAAATCAGAAGGCAATACATTCAGGTGATAACCATTATTTACAAAAAAAGGACTGAAAGTGACATTACCAAAGGACAATGGATCCTGTCATTATTGAGTTAGTTGCATTATTTCTAGCAAATTCAGCCATAGGTAGGAGTTCTGACCAGCTAGTCTCATTGGCATCAATAAAGCAACATAAAGAAGACTCTGAGGCTTGATTGTCTCTCTCCGCCGCCCCATTGGTCTGAGGGAGATACAAAGAAGAAAAAGAAAGTTCTATGCCCAACTGTTTGCAGAAAGCACGCCAAAATCCAGAGATAAATTGGGTACCTCTGTCAGGTATCCATATAGCCTAAAGAGTTCACGTAATAATTCTTGGACAAGATCCTGAGATGATGGCAATTTTTTGAGAGGTATAAAATGTGCCATCTTGGAGAATCTCTCCACTACCATAAGGATAGTGTTGTACCCATTGGAACCTGGGAGATCAACAATGAAATCCATGGCCAGATGGGTCTATGGAGCATCTGGTATTGGAAGTGGCTTTAACAACCCAGAAGGTGATTTGTGAGGAACCTTGGAAACAGCACATATTCTACATGCCCCCATGTACTCCTTGACATCACCTCTAAGTGACGGCCACCAAAACTTTCTAGTAATGGCAGAGAGTGTTTTGTGTATCCCGTGATTTGTCCAGCTGTCACATTATCATGGTATAACCCGAGTAACCCAGTTCTCTGTGATGGTGAGACAAACAGTTTAGTGGATGGTTTCTCTGCTGGTGGCTGAGTTTGGTTCGTTATTATGGCACAAAGGAGCTGAGAAGACAATTCCGAAACTGTCGTAGCAATGAGACATTCAGGAGGTACAATAGGAGACGACTCTTGGTCAGATATCTCATCTGTATCATACTGTCTAGATAATGCGTCTGCCTTATGTTCTTAGTGTCTAGTCTGTAAGTAATAACAAAATTAAAACGTAAAAGAAAAAGTGACCATCTAGCCTGTCTGGAAGACAATCTCTTAGTGTCCCCAATATAAGCCAGGTTCTTATGATCCGTAAAAATCAAAAGTAGCTCTATGGAACCTTCTAAGAGATGCCTCCATTCTTTAAGAGCTAGAATAATGGCCAATAACTCCCTTTTTCAGATGTTGTAGTTTTTCTCAGCAGGAAATAACTTTTTGGGGAAAAAAACACAGGGATACAGAGGCTTATCTAGGTTTTCTCATTAAGACAGGATGGCCCCTACACCTGTTTCTGACACATCAACCTCTAAAATAAAAGATTTTTCGGGATGTGGATTTGCTAAAACGGGTGCTGAAACAAATAAAGATTAAAATTTTTCAAACGCCTCTATTGCTTCCTTGGGCCATGAACTACAGTTAGCTCCTTTTTGGGTAAAATTGGAGCAATTACAGAGGAGAAGCCTTTGATGAATCTGCGATAGTCATTTGCAAATCCAATAAAGCGCTGTACGGCTTTAAGTCCTTTCGGTGATGGCCACTGTAATACTGCTTCCAGTTTGGTGGATCATATCAGATGAACTGTACTTCGGTTTGATCAAACTGGCACTTTTCGAGCTTGCAGTATAGGCCATTTTTCAGCAGGGTTTTAAGCACTGATTTCACATGTTCGTGATGGGTACGAAGGTCTAGAGTATAGATGAGAAGGTTATCCAGGTACACCAACATGAACTGGAAAAAACAAAAGAAGAAAATCAGCGCTGAATTGCCACAACAGGATATAGATAAAAAGGCTGCACTCCTCAAAGGGGAGTCCCCAATAATCCCCTAATGGTAACAAGGAATACAAAACAAACAATAAAATAAGGGTGCACCTAAAATATATAAATGTATAATAGTGACACTATAAATAAAATATTAAAATATTAAAGTATTAAGATAAAATAAGTAATTGGCAATAGTCCAAACAAACTTATCACAGTCCGTAATGGTAGGTCCCACGTGTAGAGAAGAAATTCTTAGGATGTTTAATGGGATCAAATCTTCACGATTATATGCTTGAAGTTCGATAGAGCATATGTAGAGAAAGAATAAAACAGGACTCCAATGGCACAGTATATAGGTAAGTAAAATATATAATAATAAAATTAGTCTTACTCACACTTTTCAGAGCTAAAATCCAGCTCTAATATTGCTCACGTAAAGTGGAATAATCCCCACTCAAGGAAATGCGGAGTAAGGTTTGATA